AACACCCCACACACTTAACATTCCCCACACACTCTTAACACCCCCACACACACTTGACATTTCACACATTCTAACACCACACACTCTTAACACCCCCATCATTAAAATATAATCACCTCAGACAAAAATAATTTAAATGCCTCACTTACCCCAGCACATGACTGATACATAAACATTCATTAATATTATTTTTGTCTCAACTTCACATGGTCGTCAACACAATATTTCTACTTGATTCTACTAATCCAATTAATTTTTTTTTGTTTCATTGGTAAATAAATTTGAGGCCAAACAATGGATGATTTTTGTCTCGCACGAGAGAAAAATATTTTTGAGTATTTTGGTTTTACTGAATTTGTTGTGTGTGTGTGTGTGTGTGTGTGTGTGTGTGTGTGTGTGTGTGTGTGTGTGTGTATTACATGTAGTGACTGTATATTTCTTCATCTATGTACATTCCCCACATCCCCAAAAAGTATCGGTACCCCTGATGGTGGTCGATATAGCTCGTGGTGTGTGAGCTGTGTTAGTCCACTAGTCTCAGGACATAATTTCTACATCAAACTAAACTAGACATACACCTGTCCTCACCTGCGTTTCTCATTAAGATAATATAATTAATTCACGTCACAAACCCCTCTCATTGCCAGGCTTAATGACAACAGTGACAATGGGGAGGTAATTAAGGGTGTGTTATGTGAGGTAATTAAGGGTGTGTTATGGGGTGTGTTGTGGCAGCTGATACTATGTTTACTTCTGCCCATCACCATTGAGTATTCACTTCAGGTAAGGTTAATTAACGCCAGGTGTGGGCCTTTGTGTGTGTGTGTGTGTGTGTGTGTGTGTGTGTGTGTGTGTGTGTGTGTGGTGTAGTTATGCATTATATGTATATTTATGTATATTAATGATTGCTGTTTATAATGGTGATATAAACATTCATTTGATCTTAATATGGGAGGAACTAATGGCGTCCTGCGAGGTAAATGAATCTGAACTTTGATTTCTGGTACACATAGCAGAAATATAACTGGCACTGCACTCAACCATCTTCACTTCCCCAACTGTAAAGGCAGGTACCCACTTGCAGCGACCCAAAGGACAGAAGCCGATCATTGTAGCCACATCAGCCACGGCGTCACACCTTCCCTATACACAGACATTGGTATAATTAGCATCGTCATGACACACATACGGACATTGGAGGGCGAATATTTGTTTTACTGAAAAATAATAAAAAATTATGAACTGGCAACTTCACGGACGGGTGACTACGTACATACATACATACATACATACATACATACATACATACATACATACATACATGCACACATACATACATACATACGTACATCGTCCTTCCGGTGTACGGCTTTAAACTATTTCAACATTAATTTTGGAATGTACGATAGTGTGTGTTGGTTCCTGTGTTTTATGGTGTTTTGTAGTGTTTTGTGGTGTTTTATGGTGTTTTGTGGTGTTTGGTATTTTATGGTGTTTTGTGGTGTTATATGGTGTTTTGTGGTGTTCCATGGTGTTTTGTGGTGTTTTGTGGTGTTTTGTGATGTTTTATGGTGTTTTGTGGTGTTTTGTGATGTTTTATGGTGTTTTGTGGTGTTTGGTATTTTATGGTGTTTTGTGGTGTTATATGGTGTTTTGTGGTGTTCCATGGTGTTTTGTGGTGTTCCATGGTGTTTTCGGGTTTTTTCTGTATTTTACAACACGACATAACACCACACAACACAGCACATCACCACACAGCACCACGCATCATAACACAACACAACACCACACAACACATCACCACACATCATAACACCACACATCACGACACCATACATCACATCACCACACATCACAGCACAGCACAAAACATCTAAGTCTGTATATTTACGTCCTTACTGTGCTTGGTGTTGCCTGTGTGTGTGTGTGTGTGTGTGTGTGTGTGTGTGTGTGTGTGTGTGTAGGTGGTCCATGGCGTGTGAGTGAATACCAGGTACACACACACACACACACACACACACCTCCCATTCCTCACTTTTCAATGCTCCTTCCCTCCCCCCTCCCCTCCAACATCCTCCTTCTACCCCCTCTCTCACTCTCCAATTCCCCTTACTCTCCTCACCTTCCCCTTCCTCCAATCCCCTCCTGCCACTCCAGCCCCCTCCTTCCCCTCCCAAGGAAGACCCCGGACTCTGGAGTTGAGTGGAAATAATTCAAATGGGGAAGAGGGAGTGAGCAGATGGGGGAGAGACGGTGAGGAGTGTGGGAGGAAAGTGGAGGAGAGGATGTGAGGGTGGAGGTGGTGGGGGATGTGTGAGGGGGAGGTGGGAGTGTGAGGAGGTGGGGGTGTGTGAGGGAGGTGGGGGGGAGGCGGGTGAGAGGTGAGAGCCTGAGAGGTGAGAGGTGTCATGAGCAGCGCGTGTGGGTTCATAACTCAACGTGAGGTGTTTGTGTGTGTGTGTGTGTGTGTGTGTGTGTGTGTGTGTGTGTGCCTCAAAACTAGGTTCTATAAACACTTTCTATATTCAAGGTCACATGTTAAATAAGAGCCATTAATTATTGCGTCCAAAAGGTTGTTATCTAATTAATATCCATTCAGGTGAGATTTTTTTTGGAAAGATATTGTAAAAAAATGTTTCCTTTGTGTTGATCATAGTTGAATATATCTTTGATGCTTTAATACTGTAATGCTGAAATGTTGTAATGGTGTAATGCTGTAATCAGACTATCGCCATTACGGCCATTTTGAAATTAATCAGAATATCGTCACAGCGGCCATTTTGAAACTGTAATCAGAATATTATCACAGCGGCCATTTTGAAACTCTAATCAGACTATCGCTATTACGGCCATTTTGAATTTAATCAGAATATTATCACAGCGGCCATTTTGAAACTGTAATCAGAATATCGTCACAGCGGCCATTTTGAAACTGTAATGCTGTAATCTGAATGTTGTTACAGCAACCATTGACATGAAGACTTTAAGTACAGTAGTTCTTTAATATTTCAGACGGTAAACATTCTCTTGAAGACGATCCTGTGTTGGCAGTGTAAACATCCCCCCCTTTCCCTCTCCCTATCTCCCTCCCTCCCTCCCTCCCTCCTCCAATCTCTCTCTAATTCTCTCTCCTTCCCACTATAGGGGGCATTTGATTGAAATATCTTGGGAGTTTACATAGTCACCAGCCTCCTACCTCTCTCTCTCTCTCTCTCTCTCTCTCTCTCTCTCTCTCTCTCTCTCTCTAACCCCTACAAGTCCCATAAGGGAGCGTATAGAGCCACGCATCTCCCTTTTTTACTCTCCCTCTCTCCTTCTTACCCTCCCTCTCTTGATCACACACTCCCTCCTTCCTTGCGTTTTTCTTTCCCTCCTTTAATCACGAACTCATTCTCTCCCTCCCCGCTTCCCTCCCTCCCTCCCTTCCCCTCTCCCTCCACTTCCTACGCGACCTGAAGATTGAAATATTAATAACTCATTATCACAAGGATATACCGGAAGAAAAATGGAGGCAGGACAGATAAGAGACTCTACTTATATTTTTCACCAGACTCCTCCGTTAAAAATCCCCTCCAGGTAAATCCTTAATTGACCCACGTCAGGTAGAGTCAGGTACAGGTACACAGAGGTGGATTAAATGACGTCGAAATTACACTCAGGCAGTACTTTAATTAAGGAATGGTTCACTGACTTAGATTGGTTCTGTTGAGGTGGTTGTGGAAAATATTATTATTGTAAGATTTTTTTTAGAATTACAGGAAGACTTAGGATGATTCTTCTAATGCATTTACGTGGGAAATATTATCGTAAGAATCATTGAGAATCACTTTGAGATTATAAATTAATTGTACTGATTTATTTATGGAAGTTAGGAGGAAAAACATACTTAAGAATCTTTTAAGAATTACATTGAAATTCTAATCTAACCCAACCTGTTTGATTCATTCATAGTAGTTAGAAACTAGAAAAAAATAGCTTGAGATTATTAACTAGGCCTCTCTCTCTCTCTCTCTCTCTCTCTCTCTCTCTCTCTCTCTCTCTCTCTCTCTCTCTCTCTCTCTCTCTCTCTCTCTCTCTCTCTCTCTCTCTCTCTCTCTCTCTCTCTCTCTCTCTCTCTCAAGGTCCACCTCCACCCAACAAACTCTCGTCTCAAGGTCTTACTTCGACGGCGTTCTCCCGCTGACAAACTGACAGCTAACAACAGCAGCCTCAACCTCCTGCGGCTTTTCTATAGAAACTTCGCCACTCACCACTGACTCACTCACTCCACTGACTCACTCGCACTCACTCACTCGTTAATTCCCTTTATGTCTGTCTGTGTCTTAATTAAATCTCATCGTTGAAATTGGTACAAATAAACAGGTTAAATAAATAAACAAGTTAAATTTAGTTGAATACAAATAATTCAGAGTAAAGATGAGTTAGATTATACGTTACATTAAGTTAAAAGCGAGGCAGAAATGACAGGATAGGATAAAAACGTCAGAAATACGTTAGATTTAAGATATAAACGCCAGAAATACGTCAGAATAAAATATAAACGCCAGAAATACGTCAGGATAAGATAAATACGCCAGAACAAGATAAATACGTTAGAAGATAAAGCATATCATAAATACGTCCGAATAAGATAAAAACGTCAGAAATAAGTCAGAATAAAGATATAAATTTACGTCAGATTAAGTCAAATTAATTTAAATTATACATGAGAATTAATTTTAAACGAGTCGGTATGAAATATAGATCAGTTAATCTTCCTGTCCGGGGGTACAACTGTGTGTGTGTGTGTGTGTGTGTGTGTGTGTGTGTGTGTGTGTGTGTGTGTGTCCTATTTTCTGTACAGTTTCCATAGTTATTTTCTATATAATTTCCAAGCTCTATTTACCGTAGTCCGTAAACTCCTCCGCGCTGCGTCTCATTTTACAGGTAAACCCGGTGATCACCTTACCTGTGTGAACCTTGATTAACTGACACCTGACTCGGGGGGGGCCCTTGTTTGCTCACCTGTATATGCATCGATCTGTTGCCGACACTGACATGACAGTGTGTCGACATTGACCTGAGAGTGTGTCGGTAATGTGATGAGAGTGTGTCAACAGTGGTTTAAGTGTGTCGACAATGACCCGGGTGCGTGTAGACAGTGCTCTGAGATTGTTTGTCGACGTGGTATTGGAGGAGTGGGGGAGGCGTGGGGGGCGTGGTAGTGGAGGCGTAAGGGCGTGCTTTTGGGCGTGGGGGCATGGTAATGGTGGCGTGGGGGGCATGGGGAGTGTAGGCGTGGGGGCGTGGTAGTCAGGCGTAAGGGCGTGGTACCGGGGCGTGGGGGCATTGGTATTGGTGGCGTGGGGGCGTGGTAGTGGAGGCGTAGGGGCATGGTGGTGGGGACGTGGGGGGCATGGTGGTGGAGGCGTAGGGGTGTGGTACCGGGGCGTGGGCATGGTAATGTGGTGGCGTGGGGGCGTGGTGGTGGGCGTAGGGGCATGGTGGTGGAGACGTGGGGGCATGGTGGTGGAGGCGTAAGGGGTGTGGTACCGGGGCGTGGGGGCATGGTAATGGTGGCGTGGGGGCGTGGTAGTGGGGCGTAGGGGGGCATGGTGGTGGAGACGTGGGGGCATGGTGGTGGAGGCGTAAGGGTGTGGTACCGGGGCGTGGGGGCATGGCTGTGGTGGTGTGGGGGCGTGGTAGTGCTGGGCGCGTGGGGGCGTGGTAGTGGGCGTGGGGGGCATGGTAGTGGAGGCGTAAGGGCGTGGTACCGGGGCGTGGGGGCATGGTAATGGTGGCGTGGGGGGCGTGGTAGTGGATGCGTGGGGGCGTGGTAGTGGAGGCGTGGGGGGCGTGGTGTGGTGGAGGCGTGGGCCGTGATGGGTGTAGGGGTCGTGGGGGGTGACGTGGGGTGGGTGGTGCGGGACCTGTGGCCTCACCAGGGAGTGTCAACTGTCAGCTCTCCGCTCCATCATTAAATGTGTCCTTTCTGTTAGAGCCTCCTCCTTCCTCTTTCCCTCCCTCTTCCTCGCCCTTCCTTTCCTCCTTACCCCACCTGCCCTCCTCCCTCCTCCCCCTTCTCCCTAACCCTCATCTTCCTCCCTTACCCTTACCTTCTCTCCCCTCCCTTACCCTAACCCTCATCTTCCCTCCCTTACCCTAACCCTCATCCTCCCTCCCTCCTGCATTCCCTCCCTTATCCCCACCCCTTTCCTCTCCCTCCTTCCTTCTCTCCCTTACCTTGACTCCCTCCCTCCCTCCCTCCCTCCCTCATCTAAATAATTTTAACTATCTACTAAAGTAACCATTTAAGCAACTTTAAGTAACTATAAGTAAATGTTTAATCATCTTTAAGTAACTTTAAGTAACCATTTAAGTGACTTTAAGTAACTTTAGGCCGTCATGATGCCGGATAGAGTAGTATTAAGAGTGAGTTTCAGCAATAGCAAGGGAGCAGTGAATCGTTTCTTTACCTAGTCTTAATTACAACATTCGCTTTCACTTTAGTCTACAAAAATAGGTTGAGAAAAAGCCAGGAGAAAAATCTGGGGAAAAAAATCTGGAAAGTATCTTGATAATTATTGTTTGAAGGAATAAATTTGGAGGGTTGAAATCGATGTGGAATTTATTCGTATTTTTTTTAAACTCCTATTTATTTATAAGGACACACACACACACACACACACACACACACACACACACACACACACACACACACACACACATATACTAAATCTTAAAGGGGGAAAAATAAGACGAAACAGGAAGAACAACGCGACAAAATTGGAGGTTTTGTTGTCCCCGCCGCGACAAGCCAATCACGTCAGCTGATTTTAAGAGCCGAGAGATGATTGGCTTGAAATGAACAATCAAGCAATATGGCGGAGCTGTCCAAGTCAGCAGTTTCAGAAAATGACTCAATTCTCTCTCTCTCTCTCTCTCTCACTCTCAGTTTAGGTCACAGGTCAGGTCAGAGGTCACAGTATTAGCTGAAACACCACTATTAAGGGTCAAACTTTTAAAGCCAGTACTAATTAACCCTATATTATCAATTTATTAAATAATTTTAGGTATTGGGTCTAAGGTCAAGCCCCATTGGTCAAAATTTAAGGTCACAAAGGCTGATGAGTCTCTGTGAAGGATTTAATTGGTCAGTGTCTCTAAAGCTTGGGTCATTTATCTTTGTGTGGTGAGGAGAGGGTGGTGTTGACCTCTTCTGACCTTCTGGAGAAAATTACTACTTTCCTGACAGTGATTTTGTTTTGTTTTATCACTTTCCCATCTCTATTAACGACTTTCTCTTTGGTTTGTAATGAGGTACTTCCCAGGGAGAGACTTTTTTTTTACACTGTCCATCGTAAGGTACTTCCTCTCAGTGAGTAGTTATATTTATGCTAATTATGAAGTATGTCTCAGCCAGTGACGATTTTACTTCCCCACTAATGACAAAGTACTTCCCCCAAATAGTGTCACTTTACCCCATTACAAATAACAAAGTACAGTACTTCCTGCATACAGTAACAACTTACCCTTCACAAAAAATAAGGTACTTCCCCCATGTAGCGTCAATTGACCCCTTCACAAATAACAAATTACTTCCCCCAGACAGTAACAACTATCAATTCTCTATTTCCAGGGAATGACGTCTGGCCCTGAAGAACACGGTACTTCCCAAAGGACAGTGGCAACAGAAGCCATCTCACGTAAGTACACAAACTACCTACTGGGTCAACAAGAAACGTTTCTGACTATTACTAAAACATATGACGTCAACAAGAAACGTTTCTGACTATTACTAAAACATATGACGTCAACAAGAAACGTTTCTGACTATTACTAAAACATGTGACGTCAGCTGGAAACGTTTTGGTTATTGCTAAAACGTTTCCCCACACAAAGTTGTACTGAAAAGATGGATTAATTTCTGGTAAAAGCATTCATGGCTTGGCTGTGGCAGCTTGTTGGGCCGGGGGATTGGATGGTTTGGAACGAGAATTGGAGAGATTGGGTTGATATGTTGATTTTTTTTTTGGGGGGGGGAGGGATTTAAGATTAAAGTTATAGGGCCAGTGATTAGAGGGATTGAGATTATAGGGTCAGTGATTGGAGGGATTTAGATTATAGAGTCAGTGATTGGAGGGATTGAGATTATAGGGTCAGTGATTGGAGGGATTGAGATTATAGGGTCAGTGATTGGAGGGATTGAGATTATAGGGTCAGTGATTGGAGGGATTGAGATTATAGGGTCAGTGATTGGAGGGATTGAGATTATAGGGTCAGTGATTGGAGGGATTGAGATTATAGGGTCAGTGATTGGAGGAATGTATTTATAGATTCGAGGACTGGAAGGTTGAAATACTACTTATTTTTAGCTGGACTTTAATCCTACAAAACAGGGAGAAATTAGAAGGGGTGGGGGGAGGAGGGTGAGTATTTAGTGAGGATAGGGGGGAGGGTAGGGTGGAGATATGAGCAGTAACAATGTGTAGTGAACTGGGATGTGGTGGGTTGGGATGTGGTGGGTTAGGGATGTTGTGGGCTTGGAATGTGATGGGTTGGAATAATGTGATTGGGCGGGGGTGTGGTGGGCTGGGATGTGATATGTTGGGGATGTGGTGGGTTATGGGTGTAATGGGCTGGGATGTGGTGGGTTTGGTGATGTGGTAGGTAGGGATGTGGTGGGTGCTGTATTGGTTTACCCAGACCTCCATTACCTGGAGAACATGATCACCTGCCGAGCCTCACCTGTCTACACCACCGACGGAAGGGAGGGAGGGAGTGGGGGAGTGTGGAGGGAGGAGTGGGGGGGAGTGTGGAGGAGGGAGGGAGTGGGTGTGGAGGGAGGGAGTGGGGGTGTGGAGGGAGGGAGGAGTGGGTGGAGGAGTGGGGGGTGTGGGGGGAGGGAGAGTGTGGGGGTGTGGAGGGAGGGAGAGAATGAGAGAGGGGGAGTAGTGGAGGGTAAGGTGAGGGAGATTGGAAGGAAGGAAATGAAGGAGGCTCAGGGAGAGAGAGAGAGAGAGAGAGAGAGAGAGAGAGAGAGAGAGAGAGAGAGAGAGAGAGAGAGAGTTAGTAGTGATCCAGACATTCATCTCAACAATTTATTCTCACGAAACAAAAATATCTCCTCCAGGGGTCGAGACTCACCTGTGGGTTAAGTCTCTCTTATCCAGTCTCTTAAGTTACGATTTTTTTAAAATACGATTTTTTTGTAACCTTAACTTTCTCTTTTATTCGTATGACCAACTTAACGTAACGAAAACTTTTGAGATATATAAGTTTTTTTTCAGCATTAGTTTCATCTTAAAATGTCACTTTTTTATACTTTTAATTCTATTTTTTTTTGTCTTTCATTTTATATAATAACGTGTGAGTTAAAATATCCTTCACACTGAGAGTCTTGAGTCAAACTTCCTCTTTAAACATTTTCTTGTTCCTTGTGTTTCCTTGTTTACGAAAAAAACTAGAAGAAGAAAATTTGATAAACTGGAGCAACAAAGATGCAACTGACTTAGAGAATACTGGGAGAGAGGAAGAACGTAAGTAAAAATGTCGAAAGTTTGTGAATAATTGATGGGATAAGTGAGAGAGTGAGAGGGAAGTGGGGGAGGGTGAGGGACGGGGAGTGAGAAGGAGAGTGAGAGGGAGAGAGAGTGAGTGAGAGAGAGGGAGGGTGGGTGAGTGAGAGTAAGGGAAACTAACTCTTTCACACACACACACACACACTCTCTCTCTCTCTCTCTCTCTCTCTCTCTCTCTCTCTCTCTCTCTCTCTCTCCCAAACACAATAAACACAAAAATCTCCCCCGTTCCAGTGTGGTTTGTGGGCTGCAGCTGCTACTGAGTATCGAACCCTGGTACCCGACCCATATTCATATCCGACCTGCAATTGACGTCGCTTCTCTGTCAGCCGGATCATATTGCAGCCGGTCGAGAGGAGTATCCGGACCTGACCCTGTGTGTGTGTGGGGGGTCGTGTGGGGGGGTGTGGGGGTCTGTGTGGGGGCCGTGTGTGTGTGGGGGTGTGTGTGGGTGTGTGGGGGCCGTGTGTGGGGGGCTCGTGTGGGGGCCATGTGTCGGGGGTGTGTGGGGGTGTGTGTGGGGGGTGTGTGTGGGGGGGTAAGAGACTGTAGGAGAGTAGGGGTGAGAGGGTGAAGGAAATGGCATGAGGGAGGAGGGGGAGGGAGGGAGAGTGATTGGCAAAGAGACGAGAGGAAGAAAGAGGATGAGGTGACAGAGAGAGAGAACGGCTTAACGACAACAGCCACTCTGTCTTCCCTGGGGCTGGGTGTCTTCTCCTGGGCCACCCTGTCTTCTTGTCTCTCCTGGGCCACCCCGTCTTCACCCTGTCTTCTCGTCTTCTCCCTGGCCACTCTGTCGTCTCCTGCTCCTGGGCCACCCTGTCTTCTCCCTGGGCCACTGGGCCACCCCTGTCTTTCCTGGGCCACCCTGTCTCTCCCCTGGGCCACCTGTCTTCTCCTGGGCCACCCCCGTCTTTTCCTGGGGTCTTCTCCTGTCTTCTCCCTGCCACTGGGCCACCCACACCCTGTCTTCCTCCTGGGCCACCCTGTCTTCTCCTGCCACCCCTGTCTTTCCCTGGGCCACCCTGTCTTCTCCTGGGCCACCCGTCTCTTCTCCCTGGGCCACCCTGTCTTCTCCTGGGCCACCCTGTCTTCTCCCTGGGCCACCTGTCTTCTCCCCTGGGCCACCCGTCTTCTCCTGGGCCACCCTGCCACCCCGTCTTCTCCCTGGGCCATCCCGTCTTTTCCCTGGGCCACCCCGTCTTCTCCCTGGGCCACCCCGTCTTCTCCCTGGGCCACCCTGTCTTCTCCCTGGGTCTTGGTGGCAACAACGGTAATCATAGTGTTATTTATATCTTGGTTAAGAGCAGCATGTGGAGTGTTACCTCTCTCGACACGCATCTATTTATCTGTGTTTGTCTATCTATCTATCTATCTATCTATCTATCTATCTAACTATCTATCTCTCTATCTATCTATCTATCTAACTATCTATCTATCTATCTATCTATCTATCTAACTATCTAACTATCTATCTATCTATCTATCTATCGATCTATCTATCTATCTATCTATCTGTGTCTGTCTGTCTGTCTATATATTGTGTATTCCCTGCACCATTTATTGACAAATTTAATGAACTGTCCAATTAATTAAAATAAAAATCACATTCTTGTATCTTTTAGTGAGTTCATTCATACTGCCATCCACTCTTTCGCTCCACTGATGAAGAAAAAATGTTCATATCCACATTATGGTTTGGTTTTCCTGCCAGTCAACACATTTTGAACACCTGTGAACATGTTTTGAAAACCTGTGAACATGTTTTGAACGCCTGTGAACATGTTTTGAACACCTGTGAACATGTTTTGAACATCTGTGAACATGGTATTAACACGTGTGAACATTTTAACCAATCAGAGGAGTTGGAAAGGAGACAGGCAGACATATAGACAGATAAAGTAACTCATGAACACACGGTGGTATTTATATAAGGTGAAGGTGTTTAAATGTTAAGAACTTCATCATTTAATCGTTCCTGCTTTGGGTTTATTGTAGGTCAAGTGGGTCCAAAGTTTAGTGGGCCCCATGTCTAGAGGGCCCCATGTCTAGAGGGCCCCATGTCTAGAGGGCCCCATGTCTAGAGGGGCCCCATGTCTAGAGAGCCCCATGTCTTGAGGGCCCCATGTCTAGAGGGCCCCATGTCTAGAGGGCCCCATGTCTAGAGGGCCCCATGTCTAGAGGGGCCCCATGTCTAGAGGGCCCCATGTCTTGAGGGCCCCATGTCTAGAGGGCCCCATGTCTAGAGGGGCCCCATGTCTAGAGAGCCCCATGTCTAGAGAGCCCCATGTCTAGAGGGCCCCATGTCTAGAGGGCCCCATGTCTAGAGGGCCCCATGTCTAGAGGGCCCCATGTCTTGAGGGGCCCCATGTCTAGTGGGCTCCAGGTCTAATGGGCCCCAAATCTCGTGGTCCTCAGGTACAGTGAACCCCAACTATGAATCAGTACCTCACCCTCCCTTCACCCCTTCTTCCACCCTCCACCCTTCTCCCTCACCCTCCTCCACTCTTCAGCCTCTCCTCCAGTCTATTCTCTAGTCTCTCCACCGTCATCCACCCACCGCCCTCCACCCTTCTCCACACAGCGTCATAAACTTGAGAGGTAAGGAGGTGGATGGTCTTCAAGAACGTGTGGCGTCACGCTGTGTGTGTGTGTGTGTGTGTGTGTGTGTGTGTGTGTGTGTGTGTGTGTGTGTGTGTGTGTGTGTGTGTGTGTGTGTGTGTGTGTGTGTGTGTGTGTGTGTGTGTGTGTGTGTGTGTGTGTGTGTGTGTGTGTGTGTGTGTGTGTGTTATCCGTCTACATACTACCTGTCTAAGTCAGATGCGGATCTTCACAAATTCCTGTGTTATCCGTTGCGTCAGTCAGCTCTATGAATGATGGTTCTAACTGACTTACTCATCTTAGTGAGTTAGGGAGTTAAAAAGATATTAACTTAGAAACCTTTGAGAATCTGTTATTGTAGTTAAGGAGGAAATACATTAACCTAACCTAACCTACGACCCATTGAGAATAGCAGAACCAAGGCTTAAGATAAGTTGTGGCTTCAGATGTGTAAAGTTAAGAAGAAAGTCCTTCTCTCTCTCGGTAAACGACCGGCTTCGTCACGTCCGCCGTCACAATGGCTGGCGATTTACAGTTCATATCGTGAGAATTTACGAGACTAGGGTGTTTTATGGCGGCTTGTACTGGTAGACTAGTGTACACAAGTTGGGTGTGTGTGTGTGGAGTGTGTGTGTTGTATGTGTGTGTGTGTGTGTGTGTGTGTGTGTGTGTGTGTGTGTGTGTGTGTGTGTGTGTGTGTGTGTGTGTGTGTGTGTGTGTGTTGTATGGCTCCTTCTTCTCAGCAGGGGTCCGGAACAGCGCTCTATTGTGAGGCCAGCACCCAGATCCACAAAGGCACGTACGATGAACATTCCTCTTAACTCAACCTATTAGAATGTACCTGACTGCTTGAGCCCAAACACTAAAATAATGATGAGAATGATATCAGAATTACACCGGAGACATTACCTTAACTAATTACGTTCACTTAACACCTGTAGGGGACTAAATTACGTTCACTTAGCATGTGTAGGATACAAAATTACGTTCACTTAACACCTGTAGGGGACTAAATTACGTCCACTTAGCATGTGTAGGAGACAAAATTATATTGTAACTCTACCTTAACCAGATACGTTCACTTAACACCTGTAGGAGGCCTTAATTACACTGTGATATTACCATAACTAATTACGTTCACTTAACACCTGTAGGACAAAAAAATATAATGATAATACCCTTTGTCCTTGGCGCTGGGCTGTTAATCCCTGGAACCCCTCAATGGCCTTATTCAATGGTCCACTTCAATGGCCCTCTTCAATGGCCGTATCGTTGTGTAATGCCCCCCTTTTTGTGCTCATTCCACGCAACACCTGGCTCCTGAGGCAACAATGCTCTCTCTCTCTTCCTTCGGGTTATCACTGTCTCTCTCCTGACAAACGCTGAGGTAATCTCCTTATTGACCATTTATGACATTTACCTTGATCCTTCACCTTGATCCTTCAACTAGAGAGGCGCGAGTACTAGGAGGCTTGGATACTCGGAGGCGTGGGTACTATGTAGGTGTGGGTACTAGGGGGCGTGGGTACTATGGAGGCTTGGATACTAGGAGGCGTGGGTACTATGTAGGTGTGGGTACTAGGGGGCGTGGGTACTATGGAGGCTTGGATACTAGGAGGCGTAGGTACTAGGAAGGTTTGGATACTAGGAGGCGTGGGTACTAGGAAGGCTTGGATACTAGGAGGCGTGGGTACTAGGGGGCGTGGGTACCAAGAGGCGTGGGTGACCAACCCTTATGGCAGAGGAGGAACACAAATGATAGAGTAAAATAATAATTATTTCAGGGTTATTCTCTTACATACCTCACCAGAGAGAGAGAGAGAGAGAGAGAGAGAGAGAGAGAGAGAGAGAGAGAGAGAGAGAGAGAGTAAACCTCCGTAATGGATGTCTCAGCCACCACCTTTCTCTACTAATTGTGTCTCAGTCCTTATCTCTCCGCTAGACTATCTCTTAAGAAGTATCTCGCTTAATGTGGGTTGTCTTCCTTGCAAAGTTTTCTTAATTCCTTCCCTCCTTCTCTACCTCCCTCCATCCTTTCATCCCTCCCCAATCCCTCGTACAGTCCTTACCTCCATCCTCCCCTCAGTTCCTCCTGTAGGGTCGGCGGCTCACGGGTAGTAGTAGTAGTAGTAGTAGTAGTGGTAGCAGCAGTAGTAGTAGTAGAGGAACAGGGTCGGCGGCTCACACGGGTAGTAGTAGTAGTAGTAGTAGTAGTAGTAGTAGTAGTAGTAGTAGTGGTAGCAGCAGTAGTGGTAGTAGTAGGGGAAGAGGTCGGCGGCTCAGGCGGGTAATCCCCAGACTGGGACGCTCCCGACTTTACCGTCTTGGACTGACTTAACTCCTTGATCCCTGAACCGACCCTGAGTCTCTGTTAGGGTCAAGGGGTTATTGTTGCTAGGGTGAGGGAGGGGGCGAGAGGGAGGGAGAGGTTAGGGGAAGGAGGGTGAGGAAATGAGGGTAAGGAAAGGCGAAGAAGGGAGGAGGGGGAAGAGAAAGAGACGGGAGGGCGGGAGAGGGAGTTTGATGGGGAGGGAGGGAGGGAGAAAGCGAGGGACAATGGTGAGGGAGAGGAAGTTATAGGAGGAATGGTGATCTTTCAGGGTGAAGGGGAGGGTGTATTCATAGAGCTTACTGATGCAACCTTTTAGGATATTTATGCGATGTGCGTGAATGAGTGGATAGCATAGCGTCAGTTGGAATTGGGGTGATGGTTATGTAATGGTGGTGATAGTGGTGATGGTGGTAGCTAATGGTGATAATGGTAGGCCGTGTGAAGCAACGAGCCATATCATAGGGTTACATCATGGCATTAGAGCCCCATAGAGTCCCTTATCTCTCACAGGAGTTAGAGATAATGAAGAGAGAGAGACTGTGTTTGATCTTAGGAAAGTGGAAGAAAAATCAGACGTCTCTCTACTCAAGGCTTTCAAGTGTGAGCTGTTTGATCTCTTCATAAGAGTCTGATGCCTGATGTCACTCTTAACTGTGATGATGTCAATGTCGAACTGTGATGATGTCAACCCTGCCATCACCACACACACACACAGTAATGACAACATCCACGTAATATCTTCTCGCAAAACATAAAAAAAACACTAAATATATACCTGCATTAAATTCACCTGCCCTCTTATCATTTTTAATTAAGAGTTTACCTTCATATCTCATTTTTTTTTTTTGGGGGGGGGGACATATTAACTCTCGTGTTGATATAAAGTAACTCGTGATGCATCTGTCTCTCTGGCCTGCTATATTAAAAAAACGGCTAAGTTGGCCTCTTTTTTTTTTTGGCCTTTTATGTTGGAGGAAATGAGCAAACTGAGTTATTTAGTCAGAGAAATATGAGTCTGGCACATTTACACGTCTATCTATCTACTTATCTGTCTATTTGTCTATCTGTCTGTCTGTCTATCTATCTATCTATCTAGCTGTCTGTCTGTCTGTCTGTATGTATATCTATCTATCTATCTATCTATCTATCTATCTATCTATCTATCTATCTGTCTGTCTGTCTGTCTGTCTGTCTGTCTGTCTGTCTATCAAAAGAAGAGTGAATTTCGTTCAAATTAACCCCTTGAGGACGATGACTTAATCTCTTGAGGACGATGACTGAACCTGTTGAGGTAATACAGTGTTATCGTCCCTTAGGTGGTGAGGCAGTGTTCATAGGAGTATAAATCATCGTTCTCAATGGGTTAAGTCATCACATAATCTAGTATCTTACTCACAATAGCTTATGAATCATTGAAGCCTTTTTTCCCACCAAGTTACTCAGCCATTATAAACTTTAATGGTTATTTAAATCACTTGATAAGCCTGGTAATTTATTCATGGCCCGGGTTAAATTACTGAGTCTCCCCTCTATCAGTTTTCTTTTATGATGAAGTGATAGAAAACGGGATGCGAGGTTGTAGAGTGAGGGGTATACAGTATATGTGTGTGTGTGTTTAGATTTATTGGGAGGGGTTGAGAGAGAGAGAGAGAGAGAGAGAGAGAGAGAGAGAGAGAGAGAGAGAGAGAGAGAGAGAGAGAGATCAACATAATTCATTAAAAAAATCTAAACTAGGCCTATCTAAATAAAAAAAAGGCCTATAGCTTTCTCAGTCAGTGAACGAGTCAGTCAACCATATCCACAAGACTCACCGAAAAAGAAAAAAAAAATTGTGTCACAGGTGAGGTAAAATTCCATAAAATGTTATAAATTGGTGAGATTCAAAATTTTTTCGAGCAAATTACCAATTGATTCGATTATTGAGAAAGCGATTGAGTTTAGGTGATACTAATATGAATGGGGGTCAGTGTGTTTGTGTGAGTGACGGGTAGCGTGTATGACGGTTAGTGTGAGAGAATGTTAGTGTGAGAGACGGGTAGCGTGTATGACGGTTAATGTGAGTGACGGGTAGCGTGTATGACGGTTAGTGTGAGAGACGGTTAGTGTGAGAGACGGGTAACGTGTGTGATGGTTAGTGTGAGTGACGGGTAACGTGTGTGACGGTTAGTGTGAGTGACGGGTAGTGTGTGACGGTTAGTGTGAGAGACGGGTAGCGTGTGTGACGGGTAACGTGTGTGACGGTTAGTGTGAGAGACGGGTAACGTGTGTGATGGTTAGTGTGAGTGACGGGTAACGTGTGTGATGGTTAGTGTGAGTGACGGGTAACGTGTGTGACGGTTAGTGTGAGAGGACGGGTAGTGTGAGAGACGGGTAGTGTGTGACGGTTAGTGTGAGAGACGGGTAGTGTGTGACGGTTAGTGTGAGAGACGGGTAGTGTGTGACGGTTAGTGTGAGAGACGGGTAGTGTGTGAACGTATTAATTCTCCTTTCCTTCTACCTGTCCAAGACTCAGTCGAGTAACCTGGCCGTGTTTGTTTACATTCGTCAGGTGATCTTGGTGTTTGTTTACTTAAATCAGCTGATCACCTCCAGGGCCCCAAATGACGTCATCCACTCACTACCCGCGCTGTGTGTGGTAAACCTGTACACCTGGCGTACAGTCTGGCGTAGGTTCCATTACTAAAGATCAGGCGAACGTTAGTCTGGCGTAGGTTTCATTAGTAAAGGACAGGCGAACTTTAGACTGGCGTATGAGTTCCATTACTAAAACTCAAGCGAACGTTAGCCTGGCGTAAGTTCCATAAAAGAATTTCCACACTTTTCTCCTCACCCCTTTATCTTGACTACATTTAGCGTATTAAAAAAACAATGTAATTAAGATTCTGTTAAAAAATAAATATTACAACTAAACTAAACCTTTACCTAACCTAACCTAACCTAACCTTCAAGACAGTGCTAGGGTATAGTTAAAATAAGCCGGTCGAGATGTCTAATATTCATATAATCCCAGACTTTCAGAGACTTACCAATATGACGTTGACACTGTGATATAACTCAGCGTAAGATAGAAGACACAGTGTCAGTCAGTGTCAGCTGATGGTGGTGAACTTTAATGTGTTTTGTTATGTATGGGGGGAAGTTTTTGTCAGATGTTGTGCAGCAAAAAATATCTCCCTAACATTGTATCAAGGACATTTTAATTAAGAGAGTTACGTTATCTGTATATTATGTTGTGGTGTGAGAATTAGTGTTATGGTGTTAATACAGTGTTATGGTGTTAGTGTAGTGTTGTGGTGTTAGTATAGTGTTATGGTGTAAGTACAGAGGGTTAGGTTAGGATAGATTAGGTTAGAATTCGATTGAATATAACAAATTTACATCAGTTTAGTTCCGGGTCCAGTCTCTGCCACCCAATTGATCTGAGCGCTGGGTGGTGCCGGACCTGACCGTGTAGTGAAAAGGTGAACTATCTATTGACCTTTAAGTCCGTTCTTCAGCCGACTCCGGGTAAACCAATTAATTGATATATCGACTTATACGTAGCTTAGTGTGAGGAAAGGAGCGTCCTACTGAGAAATGCTTTGGGCCATTGTTGTAGAAGAGGTGAGCCATTGTTGGGTTGATTTGTTACATTGTTCTGAAGGATTCATCGTCCTCAAGGGGTTAATTCATCGTCCTCAAGGGGTTAATTAATCGTCCTCAAGGGGTTAATTCATCGTCCTCAAGGGGTTAATTCATCGTTCTCAAGGGTTTAATTCATCGTTCTCAAGGGGTCTAGTCATCGTCCTGAAGGGTTAAGTCCTCAAGGGGTTAATTCATCGTCCTTAAAGGGTTAACTCATCGTCCTCAAGGGGTTATCATCTTCCTTAAGGGGTAATTTATCATCCTCAAGGAGTTAAAGTCATCGTCTTCAAGGAGTTTATGTCATCGTCATCAAGGGGTTTAAGGACAAACGCAAGTAAACAAGGGAAATACCCACTATCATGTTTTAATCGGCAATAACATGACTCATACACGTTCTCTCTCTCGTGTTGTATTTTTTCTTTACCTGTACTATATACACAAATCTGTACCTATTGTCTTATTATCTGTACCTGTACCTGTAATATTATACCCACCTGTTCCTGAAATATTATATCTACCTGTACCTGTAATATTATGTCTGTACCCGTACCTGTAACTTAGACCTGCTGTGACATTTCCGGATAAAGTGTGTGAGTCGTGGAGTAATTTATGGTGGCTGTGACGCAGGGAGGAGCACCACCAACACCATCAGGAGGGCGCCTCTTCTCCTGCAGGTAGTGGTGCGCTAGATGGAGGTGCTCGTTGTAGGCATCGAAGGCGTCATTTGGTGCATAAATTTGCATGAAGTTGTATACGGATGATGTCGTTTTTCAGGGGCTTTGGAGAGAGAGAGAGAGAGAGAGAGAGAGAGAGAGAGAGAGAGAGAGAGAGAGAGAGAGAGAAAATGATCTGCGTGAGGAGATGAGAAGTTAATCAATAATAATAATAATAAAATATACAAAATTCCCGTCATTTACGATATATCTTTAATCATTATTTTCTCTGTTCATCATTTGTGTGTAAAGAACCCGTAATTAACGAGGTGGGTGATGTGGTAAGATGTCTCCCTGACAGGTGATGTTCATGCAAGAGTAACGAGTCTTTGTTATGTGACGTTCAGTACACCAGGTTAGGGAGGGAGGGCGGGCGGGAAGGAACGTATCTTGCAAATGGCTGTTTTAATTGAAAATATAAGTTAACTGGTCTTGATAATGGCTTGTACAGGTATTTAATAAATTAATTAATAAGTGGAAGATATTTTAAAGCGGTAATTCAGGTCGTTGTTGTTATTATGGGGGAATTTATCTCATATTGGTTTTGGTGAGGAGGAAAGAGTTTTAGATGAGCAATGTAAACATGATCGGGTTGTTAGTGACCAATCAAAGCTAAAGATAGATACATTGACCAATCATAATGTAGAAGAGAGATTCAGTGACCAATTAGATGCGAAAGCCGAGTATCAATATCCAATTAAAAGCAGGGAGGTGAGGTGAGGTCGGCTCGTTGGAACAGCCAAAACACAAACAACTTCTGACTTCTTTTTTTTCGGGGATTAGCCCACCCAGGCACATGTCATCGGGGCCCTGGGGAGCGAAAATGTAACAATAATAATTCATAGTAAATAAAATTTATAATAAAAAGTAAAATAAAATATTATTGGTAATAATAATAATAACACTGTGATGATGATAATAATAATAATAAATACAAGAATGAAAAAAAAAACAGTAAGAATCGCTATATGTATGTTGTGTTGTCATGTAAGAGAAACAATTGAGACCCTACAATTGTGTGTAAATGAGGCAGAAAGACAGATCAGCAACCTGGGACTTGGTCACAATTTGTTTGTGTTTAGCTGTTTATGTCTAAATAACTTAATAAATAGTGATAAAACTAAACAAATAATTAACATCAATGATTGTAATATTTATTTTTGTGCGAGAAAATAACGATTGAATGTGAAAAATAACGATATTCAACGATTAAATACCCAAACATGTTGACTGGTGATTTAAACCGCAAAGAAAGCGTGGCTTGAAACACCTGGCCGATAAGACCCACATAACTCAGGTGTGTAATTAGTTAATCTTCATCAATCTTATTAATTAGGGATTACACCTGTCATTCTATCTACTGAAGGCACTGAACGGTCAACTTAGTCCCATAATGAAGATAAGTCATGAATCTAAAGTAAAAATGATAAATTTAACGAAAAAATGGAAAAAAATCTGTCGTATCTTGGGAACGAAAACGGATAGATGAGGGTAACTATTTTTTTCTTTTTTTTTCTTTTTATAATTTTTTAAATAATGTACTGTACTGTATATGTTGGTGGTACTTGTGGTAGTGATGGTGGTTGTTGTGGTAGTGATGGTGGTTGTTGTGGTAGTGATGATGTGTAAGGTGGTGGTTATATAGTCCTGATTCTTTGTTGTATGCCTGTCTGTCTATCTGTCTGTCTGTCAGTGTATAATGTACATTGCTGTAAGTAAAAATATTCCGATCGTTAGGATAAAATTCCAATTGTAAGAGAAAATCCCAATACCAAGTTAAAATTCCAATCGTATCTTAAGAATTCAATCATTAGTTAAAATCCCAATCTCAAGTTAATATACCTATTGTAAGTTCTAGTACCAATCCTAAGTTGAAATACCAATCTCAAACTTGAAATTCCAATTGCAAGTTAAAATCCCCAGCATACACTCAGAGGTCCAGCACTGACCTCCGAGATTCTTGTCAACTAGGCAGAAAACGCGAGCTTCCCGGACGCTGGTCACGACCCTCGCCTCTTTGCACTATTGCAACTGCGGCACAATGTTGCAGGAAGATAAAACGAACCGATTTAATATAGTTCTTAAGAGTCTCATTTACATTTTAAGACGATTGAGCCGAGTTTTCTTATTTGGAGGAAATGGATAAGTACAGATACACACACACACACACACTCGCGCATCTACTTACATACATACACACTTACACATACATACATACATACATACATACATACATACATACATACATACATACATACATACATACATACACTATTATAGAAACACCTTTATTGGGTCGGTACTTTATTCCAACACAGGGAAAATTGTCGTTGTATTGGGAATTCTGGAGAAAAACTTCTTATATTCGGTTTTAAGAGGTTATATGGGGGAGGGGGGGTCGTTTGTGTGTGTGTGTGTGTGTAAGAGAGGAAGTATGCAGGTCACACAAAAGAGACAGAGGAAGAAACAGAAAAAATCAGGAAGAAATAGAGAAAAACTGATTATATTATACAGAGAGAGAGAGAGAGAGAGAGAGAGAGAGAGAGAGAGAGAGAGAGAGAGAGAGAGAGACTCTTCATTAGCCCAGACATTAAAGTATAATATAAACAAGACTCGTTATGAATACATTTATCGTGGAGCAGAAACTGAGAATAGAAAATCAGGCGTTAATGAATTATTCTTACCTGTGTTAAGAGTACAGCTAGAGTGTGTTGGAAGGTGAGGTAGTGTGTGTTGGAGTGAGGTAGAGTGTGTTGGAGGTGAGGTTGAGTGTGTTGGGGTGTGGTAGTATGTGTTGGAGTGAGGTAGTGTGTGTTGGAGTGAGGTAGAGTGTGTTGTGTTTAGGATGAGGTAGGTAGGTGTGTGGAGGAGGTAGTGTGTTTAGGATAACTTGAGTGTGTTGAGTGTGTGGAGGAGGTAGTGTGTGTTGGAGGTGTGGTGTGTGGGTACAGTGTGTTGGGGGGTGAGGTTGAGTGTGCTTGGAGTGAGGTAGTGTGTGTTGGGGGGGGAAGGTGTTGAAGGCGATGTAGAGGTTAGGAACGAGTCAGAGAGAGTGTGTCAGGGGAAGTAAAATAAAGTGCGTTGGTGGGGGAGGAGGTAAGGCAGACCAGCGTGAAAGACGTGTGTATGTGTGTAATAATAATAATAATAATAAACGGTTTATTAATAGAGTTGCAGCCGGTGGCTGAAAATATACAGACTTACATTTGATTTAGGCATAATGATATAATATGCATTGAATACATTTAAAGGGCTGTACAGTACATAAATCAGGAGTTGTTTATTATTTTAACAATAGATGGGATGGTGCTGTTCTTATATCGGTACGGGCTCTTATGGGCTGAATTTTGTTGTAGTGGCGGACTGCGCGAGTTGGGTGGGGGGCTGCAGGAGGTGGCGATGGCGAGGGTGGTGCAGTAGTCCACGGCCAAACCTTTCCAGTGCTTGGTGGTGGAGGTCACTGAGGGATGGCATTCCAGGGTGGAAAGAGCGTTGATGTAGCCGGAGTATTCTGCGCCGAGCATGATTCTGCAGGCCCTTTTCTGTACCTTCTCTAGCTGACGTTGTTGGGTGTGTGTGTGTGTGTGTGGTGAATATGTACCAGGATCATTATTTTGGTCCATATTTTTAGGTTTAATTCTATTGTACTGTATTGTGGTTATGATGGGACGCAGGCAATGTGATGATGATGATGATGATGATGATGATGATGATGATGATGATGATGGTGATGAAGAGGGAATAGTGAAGGACAAGAATAATAATGTATTAATAGTGATAATAACAATAATAATACTTTTAACAGTAATATAAATTTAATAATAGTAAAAATAAATAATAATAATGATAATAAAACTCGCACAGCAACATTCAGAAGGTAATATACTAACTTGTGTTAAATATGGCTATTCAGATGGCTCGTATACCAGCTGGTGTTATAGTGCACAGCTGGTCTTTACGTGTGTGTGTGTGTGTGTGTGTGTGTGTGTGTGTGTGTCCCCTAATCGTGCTGTTGTGGGTGTCGGTATGGGTGGTGGTGGGGAATTATGGGCGGCTGTGTGTGGGTGGTGGTACTGGACGGTGATGTGGGCGGCAGGGCATGGGTGACAAGCTGTGGTAGTGGGCAGTAGCGATAGACGGTGGGCGTGGGTGGCGATGGAGGCTGGAAGTGGGCTGCAGGGTGGGTTGTGGGCGATGGTGATGGGTTGTGGGCGACGGTGATGGATTGTTGATGGCGGGGAGGTTGTAGTGTGGACTGTGGTGTTGTGGGTGGTGGTAAAGGTTGTGGTGGGCGGCTGTGGTGTGGGTGGCAGGGTGGGCGATAACAGCTGTGAGGCCGACCTGGCACCTGACACTCACCAAGAATAACAATGGCCTCAGTTAACCTTCTCCTCCAGTGAGTGTGAACAGAGCCACCTCACCCTTCAGTATATAAGACACTGATATATAAGATTATTAAGGAGATATATAATTAGATGATATTATAGGGATTATTATATATATGAAAGTTATATATATTTAGACGATGTTAAATGAGGGATGTTGTGTAGTGATGGAAGATGTATTCAGTATGTGCATGTGTGTGTATTAGTGTTTGTCGCAACATAAAAATTTCCTACACACACACACACACACACACGTACACTCAACAGGTATAATTAATGTACGTGTTATGATGGAGAGTTTTGTGCTGTGAAGGGAAACGTATACCTTTTGCCCTGAAACTGACCCAGATTAATGTCGCGATGTTTAGTCTAACCTAGATTACCCCTAACCTAACCTAACCCAACCCAGATTAATGTAGCGATGTTTACTCTAACCTAGATTACCCCCTAACCTAATCTAACCTAAGCTAACTTCATCTACAATACCCCTAACCTAACCTAACCTAACCTAGATTACTCCTTACCTAATCTAACCTAAGCTAACTTCATCTAAAATACCCCTAACCTAACCTAACCTAACCTAGATTACCCCCTAACCTAATCTAACATAAGCTAACTTCATCTAAAATACCCCTAACCTAACCT